CTCTCTCTCTCTCTCACACACACACACACACACACACACACACACAATTTAAAAACAAAACAGTACAAAAATGTTGTAACAAACCCCATTACTTTCATGCTAATCTTCTAAAATAATAATAATGTAAAGTCAAATGAAACAGGGCTTGTGTATCCCCTGGTCCTATCCTGGTAATAGGTGATGACCAAACGCTTGAGTAAGAATGGAACGATTCAGGCTCTCTCCCACCAGCAAGAGTCCTTGCCTTCAATATTGCTTCCTCGACCACATGGGCACAACTCTTTCCTCCCCTCACACGCCGTCTGTCTATCCCCTTACTTCCCATCCTCATCTACAAGAGCTGAGAAAGCATATCTCAGCCTCACACTGGGGCACCAAGAGGAAAGAGATTGAAGCGAGCCTACTTGAGCTCCTGTGCGATGGCTGCAATCTGCTCCACGCGGTCCTGGTGGGCAGCCAGGTCACTCTCAAAAGCCTCGTGTTTCTTGAGCAGGGCCTTGATCTCCGACAAGGTGGCTGTCTCATAATCCTTCTGCCGCAGCATGGCCTCTTTGCCTGAGGTTGAGGGGACATGGAGACAGGGCACAGCTGAACAAGAGCCAGGCAAGTGTGTTTGATCTGGATGGCTAATCCTCGAGCCCCAGAAGCTCTGCTTATTGGGGTATTTCCTGTGGAGATGCTCACTGTACACTACTCTACAGTGTAAAGGAATGGATGTGCAGCAAGAATATCCAGATTTGGGGAGAGGCTGGGAAGACCACTGCCCTACAGGGAGCATTTCCAGGCATTGAAAATAGTTGTATATGAAGGTTATGCAGGGATATGCAGAAATGCATGAGGTCAGGCATCTACTTTCTAACAGTAGGAAACACAGCAATATATGCTCTGTGGAATAACGGGGGGAGGCGGGGAGTACCTCATAGGTACCCGGCTGTAGACTCTCTAGTTACTATGGCTAAGTCCTGAAAGCACGGCAGGGGTCCCCTTCCCAGATGCTCTCCGTGAGCAGACTCTGCTGCTCACACCCACCTTCTCGGCCCATCAGCAATGTCCTCACTAAAAAACTTCCAAGTTGCCTGAGGAAGGACTCTCTCAGGACAGGGGCAAACTGAGCCTTGTTTATATGCACATTCTCTGTGCCTATGCCATCCTGTGATGGTCCAGAAGGCTAGGCTGTGAGGCTAGGAGGTACACCCAAAAAAGCATTTCTTTCTCTCCTCTGGCATTGGGTTGGTTTTTGTTTGTTTGTTTTCCCTTGAAAATCATAACACAGTACATTTAGATTTAATTTACAAATAAACGCATTTATCTATTCCTACATAAATATGTTTCCTGCTTTAAAAAAATCTACCAGCACGTGCTCTCAGAATTTCCACTTTGGCTTCATGGTGTTCCTGGGTACAGTGGTCCTTCAAGATCTGTAGGGAACCCACTTCAGGACCCTGTAAGAACACCTAAATCCCAAGATGCTCAAATCCTGTATAGAAGATGGCTGTGTGTGTGTGTGTGTGTGTGTGTGTGTGTGTGTGTGTGTGTGTGTGTGTGTGTGTGTGTGTGTTTTCTCCATATATTCTCCCATAGACTTTAAACCACTCAGGTTGCTTACACTATAAATGCTATGTAGCTAGCTGTTCATCCATAGTCTTGAGGGGAATTACGACAAGAAAACAGTCTGTATGCGCTTAGCACAGACATAATTCCTTTTTGTTCTTAATATTTTGCTTCAAAGTTGATTGAATCCAGAGACACAGAACCCATGGATAAGGGTCATTTCTTGGCCAGACTTCTCCAACAGAGCTTCTCATTGCTCTGTGGGACCCAAGACTCCGCCCCGCCCCCGCCCCCCAGCTTGCACAGTGGCAGATTTCCCACAGATAACCCTCTGCACACAATGTCCTCCATGTTTAGGGTTAATTCCTTAGGCTCAAGAAATGGAATTCCAGTTGGGTGTGGTGGCACACGCCTTTAATCCCAGCACTAAGGAGGCAGAGGGCAGGTGGATCTCTGAGTTCCAGGCCAGCCTGGTCTGTACTGTGAGTTCTAGGTCAAAACAAAAATAAAATAAAAAAAATACAAGTGGGTGGTCTGAGCCAACTCCACCAATCCCCTTCACTCTGTACTTGGACTCGCACTTACATGGAATCCTAAACCCACCCACTTAGCTGAGTGTTTTCCTAACAAGCCAGGCCACTCCCAGATGGCTATAGAATGTGGTCCTCCCTATTCACTTCCAATCCAAGGTCAGAGGGCCATGAACCAGGGCTGAATAAGGAGATTTTAGGCACCAATGGCCGCCGGCTCTGCCTCAGGGGCTACAGCCAATGTGGCCAGCAGAGTGCCAGAAAATGGGCAGGAGCCATTCCTCACTCTAACCCAAGGCATCTTCTGAGGAACAGGCCATCCCACATGAGACTGCTTCTCTTCAGTTAGCCTTGTACTCAATAAGCAGACAGCAGCTACCAGCCTAGAAAACTACACAGAAGGACATTAACATCACATTTCAGAAATCTGGAAACAGACACATTGACACTGCCTCTCAGGGACAGTGCCAGGACTGAGAGCCACACTGAAGGACTTGGAAAGAACAATGATGGCAATGTAGAACAAGGAAAAAGTAGCACTAGCACAACACCGCCTGTGCCCTTGCCATGTAATTCTCACAAACCTAGGATTGGTACTGAAGGGACCAGCTCCCCATTTCGGCAGCCATGACAGTAATACGTGCTTGCCATGACCTTGCCTTGGTCACTAGAGGTTAGGTGCCTGCCTCGTGGCAAGGAACCAATCAGAAGTTAGCTGGTGGCGCTATGCTTTACTGCTCTGGGTGTGCTTTACACCATGAGTGCACAGCAATGAGGCGCAGAGCATAGCAACCACCCTGGGAGGGCCTATGGGCCATAACAACCAGTTGGCCAATCAACACAGGGCAAGCCCTCCAAGCCTGGAGGCACACCAATCCTGAGCCTGTGCGTACCCCTAGACACTCCCCTTACGCTGCCCTACAAGATC